GCTGGTATCATTTGTTCTCTTGATCTTAGTCAGTCTGACTGGGGTAAGATGAAATCTTAAAGTGGTTTTAATTTGCATTTCCCTAATTACTAGTGATGTTGAACACCTTTTAAGATGCTTCTTAGTCAGGCAGTGTTTCTAACCTGCACTTTCATTTTATTTCTGAATAAAATCCCTGGCTACTTTGTTATTTATGTGTGATTCTTCAGTTCTCTGAATAAGACACCAAAACCTTGGAAATATCCAGTCTAGACAAAAACACCAGCACCAAAAGGAAATGGAGAATCAAGGTTCTCCAGGTGTGAACCAGGTTCCTGGAGTCAGTCACACAGACATTGGCTGGTCTAGTGCCAGGCCTCCATTGCCCCAGCAAGGGCAACAACAGATCTCTCAAGACAGCGTGGCCTGGGTGGTTTCCTGGCTCCTTCTCCTCAAGTCTGCAGCTCTACCCCCTGGACTGTACAGTCTGGGGAGAAGCAGTCATTTCTCCCGTCTGTGGGAAGCCGGCCCAGGACTCACTGCCATTGCGATGCTATTCTGCTAAGCGGTCTCCCAACCAACCTTACAGGGGCCAGGCAGCGAAAGGACAATTTAGGTGTGAGATAAGCATGGCAACTAGAGCAGAGGCCTGACCAGGTGTGGCGTGAAAGAGGCTCATCACTGCCTGGAGCAGTCAGGTTCCACCAGGCACGAAACTCCACTTCTGGATTGTTCTTCCATCCCACAGCATTTATACCAGGAGAGGAGCATGGTTTTCAGAACCTCATCACCTCTAACGTCTCCACTGGGAGTCTGGATGCAGGAGCTAAGAACAGTCAGTATTCATGAAGCGGTAACTACACCAGCCAGCATGATCCCAGGGTCCTTGTTATCCAGGAAGAAGAGGGAACCGCTTTCTGAACCAGCCCAGTTGCTGGCTTCTCCTGCTCAGGCCTCCAGAAAATGGGAGACACTCCGAGGAGGAAGGGTCCTGCTGCTCAGTAAGAGCAGCCGCCTACTACTGAGCTGCCACAATGCAGAGCAGCCAGGGCATCCCCGAGTGACAAGTGCCTGCCCTCGGAGGACTGGGCACATTTGACTCCTCTCCTGCAGCTTGCTCAGGAAAGAGCTGGGAGGGGAGCTGGGGTCAGACATAACTCTTGGTGGAATTATTTCTTATCCTACACTCTTCAAATCCATGGGCATGGGGACTAGAGAGATGGCTCAGTAGTTAAGAGCATTGGCTGTTCTTGTAGAAGACCCAGGTTCAAATCCAAGCACCCACATGGCAGCTAACAACCATCTGTAACTCCAGCTCCTGGGGATCTGACGCCCTCTTCTGACCTCCATGGGTATCGCACAGCATGGGTGCATTTGCACACATGTAGGCAATATACTCATACACATAAAAAAAATTATTTTTTTGACCACTACACCCGGCTCACACATAAAATTTTTTAAAATGAAAAATTAAAAAGAAAATGTGGTACTCACACTTAAAATACAAATCCATGGGCACCTGACTCACAGTGGATGTGTGGTGGGTGGTCTTACAAATGGCTCTTTTTTGTCTGTCTGCATAAACAAGTAGTGCTGGGGCCCCAGGTCCAGACCACGCGTTCCAGAAAGTTCTCCCTTCCACCGCAAGACTCCATGTACCTCCCAGGGTCAGAATCAATCTCCCTCGAGTGCTGGGGGACCCTGCTGCTAGGGTTGTAGTCCTCTAACACTCGAGCAGCAAGAAAAGTGAGTTGCTAACCTGGCTTCTTCCTGAGGATTGCACCTTGGCTAGTGACAGGTCAACCGAAGTGGAGACGCGGCCCGGTGCAGGGGAGTCAAGGGAGGAACTTGGAGCTTCACATCCCCAGCTGAGAGCTGGGAGAAAATTAAACACAGACCCTGGCCTGCTGCCTGTACCCAGCTGGGTTTTCCCCTCCTATGCAGTGTAGGGCTCAGCTTGTAGGGCTGCGTGGTGAGACGATCTCAGAAAAAAAAGTGGGGGTGGGGAGAACTCTCTTCCCAGGTGCTCCTAGATGGAATCAAGTTGGCACTTTAAACTAACGAGCACCCTTCCTAAGTGGGTCACAGCAGGGAAAAACCTTGGTTTGAGATCATTCGTCCTTCCTGTGGCATTTATACCAGAAAGCTGGGACATTTGCTACGACTGGCTGAAACTGAGTATTTTCTGGAATTGGTCCTAGGGGTAGGCAGGGAACCTGTGCAAATATGTTTGGCCTGAGGCAGACGGTCCTTTAGCTCAAGGAAATAGTAATGGAAGGTCTTAGCATTGGGTGGGCCGTTGTCCCTCCCCATACCTCTTGAGTTACCTCAAACTACAGTACACAGACAGGTATGAGTCCTGCATCTCTCACCACACTGGGGAAGGGGCTGGCCTGCTCTGATGTGTTGAGGCTAGGTGCCCTGGATGGCGCCACCAGCATCTGGACAACTGTCCCAAAGTCTTTTGGGACCTCTGGTGGTCAATGCTGAGGCATACTCCTCTCAGTTCTTCAAAAGTCTCCGGAAGTCTCCAGCCTCTCCTCCGGCTCCCGCTCCCGCTCCTCAGATTGGCCTCTGTGTTTGGCTCTGCTTCCTGAGATGGGCGCCTGGATGCAGAACAGCTGGCGGTGGCAGAGACCCGGTGACTAAAGGAGTGGCTGCCTCCGCCTGGTGAGGGAGACCAGGAGGTGTCGGGATTAACAAACTCGAGAGGCTCACAGGAGGTTGGCTATGCTTCACTTGAGACCACCAGAGAGGCCTCAGCTGGTGTGTGTCCTGCAGGAGCCCAGGGTGAGACCCTCTTGCCCCAGGATCTGGGGGGCTCTGCAGAGCTGGGGTGAAGACTGCAGTGGTCATGCTGGCAACTTTGAAGAAGTGTGGTGCTGCTAAAATTCCTTCTGGGAGGCGCAAACGACGTCAGGCCCCCACTCCCTTGGTCCCTGTTAGAGTCCAGGTCTGCAGACGACCCTCTCCCAGTGTAAAAAAAAAAGCCTCACGAGACAGGCCATGAGGGCCCCTTGCAAAACAGGAACTGGCCAGGCAGCCACATTTAGAGCTGTCTCAGCACAAAGCTGTTCCCCAGATAATTTTGGAAGATAAACAGGTCCCAGACCCACTGATGTAAGAGCTGTCTCAGTTCAAGCCACTTCCCTTGAAACTAAAGATTATTTTGCCACCTTCCACATTCCCCAACCCCCTATAAAAACTTCCTCAGCAGTCAGCAGGCTGTGGTTGCCTTTCTCTTCCCAGCTGAGCTGCCAGCCACCAGAGATCCTAAGAAATCAACTTTGCTTTCCTGGAGTCCTATGTCTCCTGCGGCTATTCCCTGCCCAGCTTTTATCTAACAGTCCCTACAACCAATCTGAGGTCCAATCTCACTAAACTGCTGTTTGGGAAACCAGTGAGTTTACTGGGCTTACTTTGAGCAATGGGTGAGGAAGGGTTTACCCACAGGCGTGTGGGTGCTCCCTTCCTAAGGCATCACTGGAAAATCCATCTGGGCATGGAGGTCACCTCCCAC